GTGAAGGGGTGTGTGTCTAGGGGTGTGTGTAGGGGTGTGTGTGTAGTGCGGCAAAACAACCTCCTACCTCCTCGCGGTGCCGGACGGGCAACACTGTCGTGGGCAGTGCTGTGGGGGGAGGGCCAATGCCCATTGGCCTCTCCCCTCATGGCGTCTGTTACCACCACAGTGGCTAAACGGGGGCTCTGGACGGGTGTGAGGGGCTGGTAACCCCTCCACCTTCAATTCATTACCACTAAACCACGAATTAAACATAAACCTGTAACAAATAAGCTTGTGCCGGAGGCCCCGGGGGGTCAGGCTTTTATGACGTCTCCTGGCCAAACCCCATTTGGCGGAGCCAGGAGATTGAATTTTCACCCTCGGGGCTCCTCCAGAAACAACAAAAAACCATTGCGGATGGCCACGTGGAATGTTCGAACGCTCACTGCGGAGGAGAGGCTGCCACTCCTCTGTCGGGAGCTGGACCGGTACCGCCTGGATCTCTGTGGCATTCAGGAGGTCCGGTGGACCGGTTCTGGCTCCTGCCACCATGAGGGGTGGACAGTCCTCTACTCGGGGCAGGAGACTGCCAAACAACAGGGTGTGGCTCTTCTTCTGAACAAAAGAATGAAGGGGGCGTGGGAGCGTGGCGGTGAGGTGTGGGAAGCTGTAAGCCCCAGGATACTTTGGGCTCGCCTTCCCATCAACCAGAGGCGAGGAGTGGTGGTCGTGGTTACTTATGCCCCCACCGAAGACGAACATCCGTGGAGGGATGCAAGCAAAGCCGATGAGTCAGACGCTTTCTATGACCTCCTGTCACAGGTGCTGGCTAAAGTGGCCACTCGGGACAGAGTCATCTTGTTGGGTGACTTCAATGCCCGAGTTGGTCATGATGCTGACACCTGGTCTGGAGTGATTGGAAGGCATGGGCCAGATCAGCTCAATAATAACGGTAGGAGGCTGCTAGATTTTTGTGCAGCCCATGGGCTTGTAATTACCAACACGCTCTTCCGGCATCGGCGCATCCACACAACATCATGGATACATGCCGGGTCCAAGCAAGAACATCTGCTGGACTACATAGTGACGGACCAGCGGATGCGAACCCATGTCCTTGACACCAGGACCTACCGTGGAGCTGATCTGTCCTCTGACCATCGACTAGTCATCTGTAAGATGCGCCTGCCTTTCTTCCACTCCGGTGGTGGGTGTACACCCAGGATCCCATTCCAACCAAAAGTGGCCTGGTCTCAGTTAGCTGATGAAAGTTGCAAGCGTTCCTAGAAACCGCGCGGCGACCGCGGGAAGCCCTCCATGCCCCGCGCCTCCCGTGCCGTGCCACCCGCGACCCTTCGCGACCTCTGAGCTTGTTGTTGGCCAGGTGCGAGGGGAAGGGGGAAGCCCCCCCCCCCCCGCTGCCCCCCCCCCCCGAGAGAATCGTTCTTCTTGTCCGTGAACGAGCGGAGAAGCTCAGCTCGGTCGCCTCGGGGGTGCGCTGCTGTTCTGCCCCCCCCTCCCACCGCTCCGAGCCCCCCCCCCCCGCTCCGAGCCCCCCCCCACTCCCCGCTCCAACCCCCCCCGCTCTGAGCCCCCCCCACCCCCCGCTCCAACCCCCCCCCCCCGCTTCGAGCCCCCCCCCACTCCCTGCTCCGACCCCCCCCCGCTCCGAGCCCCCCCCCACTCCCCGCTCCAACCCCCCCTCCGCTTCGAGCCCCCCCCCACTCCCCGCTCCAACCCCCCCCGCTCTGAGCCCCCCCCACTCCCCGCTCCGACCCCCCCTCCGCTCCGAGCCCCCCCCCACTCCCCGCTCCAACCCCGCCCCCCCGCTCCGAGCCCCCCCCCACTCCCCGCTCCGAGCCCCCCCCCACTCCTTGCTCCAACCCCCCCCCCCGCTCCGAGCCCCCCCCCCCCACTCCAACCCCGCCCCCCCGCTCCTAGCCCCCCCCCCCGTCCTTGACGAGTTGAATCTCGAGGGAGTTCCACTCGCGATGCCGCTGAGTGACGCTGCGGTTTCGTGTCCCCGTCTCCGGATCGCTGCGCCGACGTCGTCGTCCAGGCCCATGAGAGGCGACAATGAGAAGCTCATTCAGACTCTGTCTCCCCGACAGACCTGGTCTTCACCTGAGGACGGCTGCTTGCGTTGTGGCCGAAACGTCGTGAGAATTGTATTTTATTATGTTTTATTTTTATTATTTTATTATTTCCCTTCTACGTGACTTTACCGAAAGAACCAAGAAGATGAATCCCTGCAGTCACGAAAGCTTTAAATCGAAGCTGTCAAGAAGTTAAATGCAAACTTCAAATGTCATTGCATTCTTTTTGTCTGCTTATCTATCGATAAATAACAACAGATTTATACTTATAGTCAAATAGCGTGCATCTCTAGCCGGGTTCTCACTTGCGGTGAGTTGCTGGTCTCAGCCTGGTGATTAGTAGCTCACATAGAGACCCATAGACTCGCTCAGAGAACCACAGACTCACATAGAGACCCATATACTCACATAGAGACCCATTGACTCCTATAGAGACACATAGACTGACGTAGATACCCATTGACTCCTAACAAGGACAAACAGATTCAAACAGAGCTTTTATCCTACAGCGATCACCACACTCAATAATGCTAATTAATTATTAAGTAATAGTGTTTACAATTGATTGTGAAATAGAGATGTGCAATGACAAAATGTAACCTTATGTGGGTATGTGGGTATACTTGGGCTGTTTTTTATATATAGTATAAATGTATTATCTTTCATTTAATTTTATTTTTATTTCCTTGTTTTATTTAATTTAAATTTATGAATGATGCCCTGACTGGTGAGCATTTTAAATTTCGTTGTACTGGTGACAATGACAATAAACGATCTATCTATCTATCTAAAGACTCATAGACTCACGTAGAGACCGTTTGATTCACATATACCCGTAGAATCACATCATGACCCATCGACTCACACAGAGACCCATTGACTCACGTAGAGGCCGAAACACTCACATCATGACCCATCGACTCACATAGAGACCAATTGGCTCCCACAGAGACTCATAAACTCACACAGAGGACCCAATTTTGTTTACAAACTTAAACGCGATGCCCCCTGCCTGCTGGGGACTGTGGGGCGTGAAACGTGACCCTGCCCCGTGACCCCCACCACACCCCACCACCCCCACCACCCCCGCCCCATGACCCCCACCACCCCCACCACCCCCACCACCCCCCACCACCCCCGCCCCGTGACCCCCACCACCCCCTCCCCATGACCCCCACCACCACTCACGCCCCACCCATGCGCCGTGCCAATCAGCTGATGTATTTATGGGGACGAGGCCTAATTCAGGCCGGGGGTTAAACGCGGAGTGATTGAGCGATGGGCTACGAGGCTGGGGGGCTGGGGGGGTGGGGGGCTGGGGGGGGTGGGGGGGCTGGGGGGGTGGGGGGGCTGGGGGGTGGGGGGCAGGGGGGGGGTTCCGTGGGCGAGGCTCCCTCGTGCTCTGGATTCGCCCTCCAAGAGGCCACGGAGTGGCTCCCCCTCCACCCCCTCCCCTCCACCCCCTCCGCTCCATCCCCTCCCCTTCACCCCCTCCCCTCCACCCCCTCCCCTCCACCCCCTCCACCCCCTCCCCTCCACCCCCACCACCCCCTTCCCCCACACTCCTCCAGCCCCCTCCTCCCTCTCGACTCAGCCTAAAATGAGTACCTGGTGCGGTGTTTGAACATCGACACTGGGGAGACAAAGATGGCCGGGCGTGGTGCTGGCCTCAATAGGTGCTCGCTAACAGCACTTGCACCAACGGTCTGTGCAGGCTATATGGAGGCTGTGTTTCTTTGTGCTGGGGAGCGGTGGCGCAGTGATTAGCTCGCTGTGTGACGAACCCAGCGGCCCGAGGTCTATGGGTCTCCGTGTGAGTCTGTGGGTCTCTGTGTGAGTCTATAGGTCTCTGTGTGAGTCTATGGGTCTCTGTGTGAGTCTATGGGTCTCTGTGTGAGTCTATGGGTCTTTATAGAGTCTATGGGTCTCTGTGTGAGTCTATGGGTCTCTGTGTGAGTCTATGGGTCTCCCTCTGAGTCTATGGGTCTCCATGTGAGTCTATGGGTCTCTATAGGGTCTATGGGCCTCTGTGTGAGTCTATGGGTCTCTATGTGAGTCTATGGGTCTCTGTGTGAGTCTATGGGTCTCTGTGTGAGTCTATGGGTCTCTGTGTGAGTCTATGGGTCTCTATGTGAGTCTATGGGTCTCAGTGTGAGTCTATGGATCTCTATGTGAGTTCATGGGTCTCTATAGAGTCTATGCGTCTCTGTGTGAGTCTATGGGTCTCTATGTGAGTCTATGGGTCTCTGTGTGAGTCTATGGGTCTCTGTGTGAGTCTATGGGTCTCTGTGTGAGTCTATGGGTCGCTATGTGAATTTACGGGTCTCTATGCGTGTCTACAGGTCTCTATGTGAGTCTATGGGTCTCTATGTGAATTTACGGGTCTCTATGCGTGTCTACAGGTCTCTGTGTAAGTCTATGGGTCTCTGTGTGAGTCTACGCCAGATTGAGCGTTCAGGATCAAGCCGGGTTTAAATACATACATAAATATGTTCCACATGTGTACATTCTACACGTATGTTAGTTGTGGTAATGATGATCATGCTAGCCGAGAGTGTGGCACTGCTTGCGATGGTGCCTCTGATGACAATGCTGCTGATGATGATGATAAAAATGACTCCGATAATAATCCTGCTTCTGCTGATGATGCTGATGCTGCTGATGCCTCTGATGATAATGCTGCTTTTGCTGATAATGCTTATGATGATAATGCCTCTGACGATAATGCTTCTGCTGATGATGATTCTTCTCATGATGATGTTGATAATTATGTCTTTGATCATAATGCCGCTGCTGATGACACTGCTGATGATGATGCCTCTGATGATGCTGCTGCTGACGCTGCGGATGATGATGCCTCTGATAATGATGATAATGCCTCTGACGACGACGACGATGACAACCGTGTCTCTCCCCTCCCGCCAGGCGACGTGGTGGACGTCCTGCGAGCACTCGACCTGCCCGCGCTGCCCGAGGGAGTGCGCCGCGCCGAGGGGCTGTGCGCGGCCAGGAGGGGCGGCCGTGGGCCGGACGTGGCCTACTCCGTGAGTCGCGAGGCGCAGCTCAGCGTGCCCACCAGGTTCCTCTTCCCAGGTACGCGCGCGAGCGAGAGAGAGAGAGTGAGAGCGAGAGGGTGAGAGAGCAAGTGAGAGACTTTTGACTTTTGAACAGCTTTTATTGCCGCCAGCAGCAAATGCACTGGAGGCGATTTCGATATGAAACACACAAAGTCACCAGCAAACAAATGAAAATAAACGCCACAAATCGACGCGTTGTGGCGCTAAAAGCACCGCGCACAACACGAAAGAAAAGTCACGTGGTGGTGGTGGTCATCGCGCACGCCACGGTGACGAGCGAGCGCTTCAGAAGGTGAACACCACGAGGGTGCTGTCCACGCTGGTACAGAGAGGGGCTTGTCCGGCCCCCCAGCGTTCGAAGAAGACGTGCACATCACTGACATGTGTGTGGTACGCGTGCTCCAGCCGGAGCCGCGCCTTAAGCAGGCCCCTGGACACTGGAAGCACAGAGCAGCCGTAGTGTCACCTTCCAGAATCTTTTTCCTCGTTTTGTACACCGCCATCTTCGCCTGAGCGCAGGCGAAGTTGGTGAGGTCGAGTGAGAGAGTGAGCGAGTGAGTGAGTGGGCTAGAGAGAGATAGAGAGTGAGAGTGAGTGAGTGAGAGGGTGAGAGGGTGAAAGAGTGAGAGAATGAGAGAGTGAGCGAACGAGTGGGAGGGCGAGTGAGTGAGTGAGCGAGTGAGCAAGAGAGTGAGAGAGTGAGTGAGCGAGAGCGTGAGTGAGAGAGTGAGTGAGAGAGTGAGTGAGTGAGAGAGAGAGTGAGAGAGCGAGAAAGCGAGAGAGTGAGAGAGTGAGCGAGTGAGAGAGTGAGCGAGTGAGTGAGTGAGTGAGCGAGTGAGCGAGTTTGAGAGAGAGCGAGCGAGCGAGTGAGAGAGCGAGTGACAGAGCGAGCGAGTGAGCGAGACTGAGAGAGCGAGTGAGTGAGAGAGCGAGCGAGTGAGTGAGTGAGTGAGCGAGTGAGCGAGTTTCAGAGAGAGCGAGTGAGCTAGTGAGAGAGCGAGTGACAGAGCGAGCGAGTGAGTGAGTGAGAGAGCGAGCGAGCGAGTGAGTGAGAGAGCGAGCGAGTGAGTGAGTGAGCGAGTGAGCGAGTTTGAGAGAGAGCGAGCGAGCGAGTGAGAGAGCGAGTGACAGAGCGAGCGAGTGAGCGAGTGAGAGAGCGAGCGAGCGAGTGAGTGAGAGAGCGAGCGAGTGAGTGAGTGAGCGAGTGAGCGAGTTTGAGAGAGAGCGAGCGAGCGAGTGAGAGAGCGAGTGACAGAGCGAGCGAGTGAGCGAGTGAGAGAGCGAGCGAGCGAGTGAGTGAGAGAGCGAGCGAGTGAGTGAGTGAGCGAGTGAGCGAGTTTGAGAGAGAGCGAGCGAGCGAGTGAGAGAGCGAGTGACAGAGCGAGCGAGTGAGCGAGTGAGAGAGCGAGCGAGCGAGTGAGTGAGAGAGCGAGCGAGTGAGTGAGTGAGCGAGTGAGAGAGCGAGCGAGCGAGTGAGCGAGCGAGTGACAGAGCGAGCGAGTGAGCGAGTGAGAGAGCGAGCGAGCGAGTGAGTGAGAGAGCGAGCGAGTGAGTGAGTGAGCGAGTGAGCGAGTTTGAGAGAGAGCGAGTGAGCTAGTGAGAGAGCGAGTGACAGAGCGAGCGAGTGAGTGAGTGAGAGAGCGAGCGAGTGAGTGAGTGAGCGAGTGAGCGAGTTTGAGAGAGAGCGAGCGAGCGAGTGAGAGAGCGAGTGACAGAGCGAGCGAGTGAGCGAGTGAGAGAGAGAGCGAGTGAGAGAGCGAGTGACAGAGCGAGCGAGTGAGCGAGTGAGCGAGTGAGCGTGCCTTAGCCGGATGATGGCGACTGCGCCGTCACCATGCGACTTGTCTCTTTGATGTGCGAATTGACCCGGGAGGGCCACCCTCACGAGATTCGCAACTCGTTGTCAGGAGGGGCCTGCCAAACGTTCGCGGTTGCGGGGAGGGCAGCAGTGGCGGCGGCTACGCTGCTGCTGCTGCAGCAAGTAGCTGCCTGTACTGATTCCAGCGCTGTGGAGGCAGCGGCAGCAGCAGCAGCAGCGAGGGTTGGAGATATGTTGCGAAACTCCCCTCCCTCCATCCGTTGCTCTGCTAGGTGTTGAGGTGGAGGCGAGTGCCAGTGAGCGGTTCGGTTTACGCGATGTCAATGACGATGGCAGCAATGTCGATGACGATGGCAGCGACGATGACGATGATGGCAGCGATGATGATGATGATGGCAGCGATGATGATGATGATGGCAGCGACGATGATGATGATGGCAGCGATGATGATGATGATGATGGCAGCGATGATGATGACAAAGATGATGATAATGGCAGCGATGATGATGATGACAACGACGATGATGATGGCAGTGATGATGATGATGGCAGCGATGATGATGATCACGATGTGTTGGGTCCTGACCCTGGGATTTGAACTCGCGACCTCTGCACGGCCTCCGCCGCGCTCGCTGCGGCCCTCGCCTTGCGCTCGGTCGCACGGTGGGTGGCGTGGTGGGGCAGCACCCACCTCCACCGGCTGCCCTGAGGCAGTGGGGGAAATTCCACATTCCTATGGCAGGCGCGGGTCTGCCCATCCCGGGGCAAATATTGCTGACTTGCCAAGGGCGGTTCTCGTTTTTCATCGACGTCGGAGGAATTATGATGATGGAGATGATGATGAGTCGAGAGCCGTAAATTCAAACTGGGATTTGAACTTTTGACCTTTTGGCAGCTGCTGCTAGTCAGCTGATTAAACACAAGTGTGCCGTCGCAAGCACGCAGATGCCCGGGCGTGGTGAGATATGGTCAGAGAAGACGTCTTGGAAGGCTTCTAATGGATAGCGACAGCGGAGAGTGTGGAGTAGCGGGCACAGAAGCCTGACGGCACGGCCCATTTAAAATCGCTCGATTCAAATTGTGCTCCTGTTATGATTATAAAGCGGCCCCCTCCATCCGCCTTTCTCTACACCCCCCCTCCACCCCAACCTCCCTCCACACCCCCTCCCTCCCTCGACCCCTCCCTCCACAGCCCCCCCCCTCACTCCACCCTCCCTCCACCTCATCCTCACTCCACCCCCGCCCTCCACCCCCCTCTCTCCAATCTCCCTTCCTCCACCCCCCTCCCTCCATCCCTCGCCCCTCCCTTCACCCCCCCACCCTCTACATCCCTTCCCTCCCGCCATGCCCCCTCCCCCACTCCCGCCCCCCCCGTCTCACTCACTGTAAGTGCACAGACGTAATCGCTCGATTCCTGTGCGGAGGAAACATTCTTCCAGCGCGGCATTCCTGCTCTCCAAACCGCTGTGCGCTCGCGTCTCGGGGTCGAGGGACCTCGTCGTATGGTCCTCATCATCGTCGTCATCATCATCTTCATCATCATCTTCGTCATCATCGTCATCATCATCTTCGTCATCGTCGTCTTTGTCATCATCGTCATTGTCATCATCGTCGTCGTCATCGTCATCATCATCGTCATCATCGTCGTCATCGTCATCGTCATCGTCGTCGTCGTCATCATCATCATCGTCGTCGTCGTCGTCGTCGTCGTCATCATCATCATCATCGTCGTCATCGTCAGTCATTGTCGTCATCGTCGTCGTCTTCGTCATCGTCGTCATCATCGTCGTCATCGTCGTCATCATCATCATCGTCGTCATCATTATCATCATCGTCGTCATCGTCAGTCATTGTCGTCATCGTCGTCGTCTTCGTCATCGTCGTCATCATCGTCGTCATCGTCGTCATCACCGTCGTCACACCCAGTCCAGTACCGAGTGGACGACTCTAAGATCTTGGCTATTGCCGCTCATCCGGAAGGCTCTTAATGGGTCTACCCCACAATATTGGCAGGAACCGATCGCTGTTGAATCTCCAACGAGGTCCCAGGGATCTTCGGGTGGGCGTCTTCGATAGACTCCCGAGGTCAAGGCTCCCTTCCTGCACGCTCAGGGGGTGACGGAGATGTTGTCACTGTGCAGCTCCCAGACCTCTGGGGAGCAACGATTTGACTTTCGTAATGGGACAGAGTTGTGAGAGCTGTTTCAGTTCTGTCTTGTGGGTGGGTGGGTGAGTGGGTCGGTGAGTGGGTGAGTGGGTGGTTTGGGGGATGAGTGAGTGGTGAGTGGGTGGGTGGGTGAGTGGTTGGGTGGGTCGGTGAGTGGGTGGGTGGGTTAGTGGGTGGTTGAGTGAGTGGGTGAGTGGGTGAGTGAGTGGTGAGTGTGTGGGTGAGTGAGTGGGTGAGTGGGTGGGTCGGTGAGTGTGTGGGTGGGTTAGTGGGTGGGTGGGTGAGTAAATGGTGAGTGTGTGGGTGGGTCGGTGAGTGTGTGGGTGTGTGGGTGAGTGGGTGAGTGGATGGTTGAGTGGTGAGTGGGTGGGTGGATGAGTGGTTGGGTGGGTCGTCGAGTGGGTGGGTGGGTTAGTGGGTGGTTGAGTGAGTGGGTGAGTGGGTGAGTGAGTGGTGAGTGTGTGGGTGAGTGAGTGGGTGAGTGGGTGGGTCGGTGAGTGTGTGGGTGGGTGAGTGGGTGGGTGGGTGAGTAAATGGTGAGTGTGTGGGTGGGTCGGTGAGTGTGTGGATGTGTGGGTGAGTGGGTGAGTGGATGAGTGAGTGGTGAGTAGGTGGGTGGGTGAGTGGTTAGGTGGGTCGGTGAGTGGGTGGGTGAGGGGTGGGTGAGTGAGTGGGTGGGTGAGTGGTTGAGTCAGTGGTGAGTGTGTGGGTGAGTGAGTGGGTGAGTGGGTGAGTGTGTGGATGGGTGAGTGGGTGAGTGGATGAGTGAGTGGTGAGTGGGTGGGTCGGTGAGTGTGTGGATGTGTGGGTGAGTGGGTGAGTGGATGAGTGAGTGGTGAGTAGGTGGGTGGGTGAGTGGTTGGGTGAGTGAGTGGGTGGGTGAGTGAGTGGGTGAGTGAGTGGTGAGTGTGTGGGTGAGTGAGTGGGTGAGTGGGTGGGTCGGTGAGTGGGTGAGTGAGTGGGTGAGTGAGTGGTGAGTGTGTGGGTGAGTGTGTGGGTGTGTGGGTGAGTGGGTGAGTGGATGGGTGAG